GTGTGAAGAGTGATGGCTATAGCGTCCTCTGTAGATCTATTTTTTCTCTATGCAAACTGGTGTTTGTCAAATGTATGCGGAAGACCAGAAATGATGTGCCAGCAGACCAATTTCTCCAAGCACTTCATGATGATAGGAGTAAGTGCCACTGGTCTGTAATTGCTGAGGTTATTGACAAGGAACTTCTTTGGCAGCGGAACAATGGTGGAAGCCTTCAAACAAGATGGAATAGTGGACTGGGATAAAGGCCGATTGAAGATCCTGGTAAAGACTCCAGCCAACAGTCTTTAAGCACTCAGCCAGAGAGACTGTCAGGACCGGCAGCCTTTCTAGGGTCCACAGCCCTCAAAATGCTCCTCACCTCCTGTTCCTCCACAATGAGGTGGGGGCTACAATTGGCTGGTGGTTGTATTTTATCTGTCTCTGATGTCTCCACTTCAAAGCGAACAAAGAAATGATTCAGTTCCTCTGCCAATGAAGCATCCCCCTCAGCAGGGATGACATTGGTTGGTTGATGGTTTGTAATGTAGTATCTATATCCATCCATCTCGTATATATTTATCCATCCATCTAGTATCTGTCCATCTATTGATCTATTCATAATCAAACTATCCATCCATCCACCCACCACCATCTATTCATCCACCCATCCTTCCTTCCATCCATAAATCCATTCATCCATAATAAAACTATCTATCTATCCAGCCAGTCAGCCTCTATTCATTTATCCATCCACCCATCCAATTTATTTGCAATTAAATGGGAAAAAAAATCTACTGGTCTATCTACCCTTTGAATTTGGTATCTGTCGTCTTTTTCACTTCTTTTTTTTAAATCCTCAACTTACAATTGACACCAAGTCTTAACATTTTCATTGTTAAGTGAGGTTTGCCCCATTTTATGACTTTTCTTGCCACAGTTGTTAAAAGAATCACTGCGCTTGTTAAAGTTAATTACACGGCTGTTCAGTGAATCTTTTGATGGTCGGACGTTCACAAAAGGGGATAAATGTGACTCCGGGACATTGCAACCATCATAAATACGAATCAATGGCCAAGCATCTGAATTTTGATCTATCTCTTCATCATCTTGGGGATGCTGCAACAGCCATTGAGGGTGAAAAACAGGCGTAAGTCACTTTTTTTCTGTGCCATGGTCACTAAATGAACTGTCGTGAATCAAGAACTAGCTGTATTGTAATGTCAAATTGCCAGGGCCTTGTGGATTACCTGTCTGGGTAATAACCCCAATGCACCAGGACTTGCTTGTCTTTTCTCATCACCGGTCTCAGCCACTCATCTGCCAGGAAGAGAAATCAAATGACATCTGCCTATTTATTCATTACGTACGGAGTGACGGAATCCGACATTCATGTATCAAATTCATCAAACCGGCATAGAGAAACATGTATCAAAATATAAAAACACCAGTTTCAAGCAGCAACTGGACTTTATTTGGAAAGTGGCAACTGGACTTTATTTTTCATGAAGAGGTTTTGCTTTTCATCCAAGAAACTTCTTCAGTTCCGAGTCAGGAAATCAATTGTTTCTCAGAAGGGAGGAAGCCTCTTTGGATTGAAAAGCAAAATCTCTTCAGGGACAAAAAAAACCCCAAGAAAGTCCAGGTTGCCTTTTGAAGAAAAAAAAAAAAAACAACCTTTGGGACATTCAAACACCCGGATGAGTGAGAGTCTGCAAAGACATGTCCTCATGGTCCCCTGAGTAGTGCAAATGGGGGCGGAGCCTTGATGTTTTCTGCCCTGTGTCCATACACAGGCTCCACCCCCACTTGCACTACTTGGGTGACTCTGGGGACAGAGGTAAGTTTCCAAATGGTCTCAACAGCGCTCTAAATAATGCCAGCCTGGCTGCAAGAATTGATATCGGGGGGATGGGGTGGGTGGGTGGGGTAATTCAAACTTGACAGCTTTTAAGACTTGTGGACTTCAACTCCCAGAATTCCTCCTCTTCCAGTCATGTTAGCTCAGGAATTCTGGGAGCTGAAGTCCACAAGTCTTAAAACTTGCTTCAGTTTGAAGACCCTGGATTTATACCCTTCCATTCCCCAACATCCAGTCCCAGCTGAAGAAACATCTCAGAGATGTTGTGGGTACTCCATCAGTGGAGGCTTTTAAGAAGAAACTGGACAAGGATTTGTCTGAAATTGTATCGGGCTTCCTGCTCGAGCTAGCGGGTTGGACTAGAAGACCAACCGGGTCCCTTCCAGCTTGGTGACTCTGTACTTCAGGAGAGAAACCAGATCAGAAAGGATTCAGAAGACCCGGGGGCCAGGAGGGTGGGGTGGGGGGGAATGCTGCCCTCCAGTGGGAAAACTCTGGAGAACATCTGCAGGATCAGCCAACCACCATGTCATCTCTGCATGCCAGTCACAACGGACAAATATGTTCTTTTAAGGCCCTAGAGGCAAATAGCACCTGTACTTTGAACACTATATTAATCTATATACAGTATATATATATATAAGCACAAAATACCACTCCCGCATCATTACAAAATCTCCCGAACTGGAAAGCCTACCAACCTGACATTGGGCACATATGCGCCTCTTGGCTTCCAGGGGCTCACTAAGCAAGGATTTTTCAAAATGACCCTCGGACCCCTTATTGGTATTTCCTATATTATTATTAACATGCTCTGGTGCTAAGGAGTTCTGCTCCCCCTCCCCACCTGAAAAGAAATCTCTTCCAAACGCAAAGCACAAGCAGAGGAGTTTCACTTTCACAACACCAAGCAGCTTTAGTCCAGAAGAGCTGAGCTAACCCACACCCAGACTCCTTGCTGTCTCCTTCTTGCTAACAGCAAATACGGTTTCAGTTTCCAAACAGCCCTCCACTCTCTCACACGCTGACAGGATGCTAGCCAGATTAGTACCGATGGATGCTGGTAGGCAGAGGCAGAATTCCCCCCCCTCCCCCTTATTTTCCTCACCAAAAACTAAGCCCGACCACATAGTCTCCTAGCGAAACACGGGTAGCGAGCTATTCTACTATTATAAGGGTGTGTCGAACCTTCATCCAGTGAGGTAGGAACAGGGTATATATGATGTGTGGCCTTCGACTTGTCATCCGTGACCGTCCCCTAAGAGGGGGAAAAAAAACACAGAGAGTAATAGCATATAAGCTTGCTGCTTTTCTTGGAGAAGTTTCATAACCCAACTAGGTAACACCATCAGAGCTAGAAGGGAGGGGATTTGTTGAGAGGAGGAAAAAGACTGTGGAGTCCTTGGTGGTCTTGTGAGCTGGGTGCCTTTCTTGCTGACATTTCAAGACCCAACTGGGCAATGTCATCAGTGGCAGAAGTGGGGGGTGTTGCAAGAAGGAGGGGCAGGAGAAGGACTGTGGGGTCCTTGGTGCTCTCTGAGCTGGGTGGTTTTCTTGCAGACGTTTCATGACCCAACTAGGGAACATCAGGAAGGAAGGAAGGAAGGGAGGGAGGGAGGGAGGGAGGGAGGGACTAGATGATCCTTGGTGCTCTCTGAATTGGGTGGTTTTCTTGCAGACGTTTCATGACCAAACTAGGGAACATAATCAGTGCTACAAGAGAGGAAGATTCTTGGAGCTCTCTGAGCTTGGTGGTTTTCAAGCAGACATTTCATGACCAAACTAGGGAACATCATCAGTGCTAGAAGGGAGTGGGGTTTGCATGATGATGGAGGAGGAGGAGGAGGAGGACGAGTCATTGTGTCTTTGAGCTTGGTTGTGTTCTTTCAGACGTTTCATGGCCCAAACTAGGGAACATCATCAGTGCTAGAAGGGAGTAGGGTTTGTGGGGAGGGGGAGGATGAGGACTATGGGATTCTTGGTGCTCTGAGTTTGCTGGCTTCCGCGGAGACATTTCATGACCCAACTAGGTAACAGCATCTATGCTAGAAGGGGCGGGGGTGCTGTCTCTTTCTCTCTATACGGTCCCTTCTAACATTAACAAAATTACCTAGCTGGGTTATGAAACGTCTCCAAGAAAGCAACCAAGGACCCAACACACAGACTGCAGTTGTGAGCCCCGAGGGGCAGTTTTGAGAACTTCCTGTCTTATTTTTCCCAAATGGCTTCATTATCCCACGAGAAAACCGCGTGGGGATCTGGCAGTTTTGACCTCATTACCTGATGGCGTTTGACAATGTCTTTGAGCTTGTTAGCCACTTTCAGCTCAATGTCCGGAATGAGGTAGATGCTTGGTCTGCTCAGACAGTTATTCTGGAAAAACAACAACAACAACAACAACAACAATAAAGGAATTAAAAAGTAGCCAGCAATGAAATTTTTTGATCCTAAGACGGCAGCCGAATCAGAGAGTGGGGAGGAGTCTGGGGAGGACTTGGATGAGAGTCCTGTGTCCGATACAGAGATGGGGCCAGGACCACCTGGGAGTGGGGTGCTGTCTCTGGAGCCTCCGGAGTCTGTCGGCAGCAAGGCAGAGGACCCAGGGGAGCCTGTTCCCAGTGCACGCTTGCACAGAGCTGCCAGAAGACAAGAGCAGCTGAGACAAAAGGGGCGACTCGGGTGTAAGGCTGTGAGGTGATTGCCCTTCCCTTAAGGGATAAAGGACAGGCAAAGGGACAGGAGTCTTTGCAGGAGGCAACGTTGTTCGCTCTGTTCAAATTAAACCTTGAAACTCTGTGGGGACTTTGTACTCCGGTTGGGGTTTTTACAGTTCATATGGCACTTTAGTTTTTGGCAGCCATTCAAAGGAGAGAAAGGGAGGTGCTTATTTCGAGGGACTGTTTGGGACTCATTACCAGCTGGGAATGAACAGAATTCCCAGCCATTGAAATAAAAAAGAGAATTGTTTGGACTAAGTGTGTGCTTAATTATGGTCTCAGGAAGCCTTGGTCAGAACAAGGATAGAAAATAAAATACTGCATTCAAATACACACACACACACACACACACACAAATACAGATACACACAGACACCTGTGTGTCTATATGTACCCATTATTCCTATCGTAAACAATATCATAAACAATACAAATTTAATACTTCAAGAAGATATTGATCTTTATTTCTAGGAAACCTGCATGCTTTTAACCTGTTTCTAACTGCCCATGATGGTTGCCGTTTAATCAAATTATGTATATTTTAGATACATATTTATTTTTAGAGACTGACAAAGCATCAGCCTTTAGAGGGGAAAAAAGGAAGAGATTATTATTATTTCCTTAAAAGTACTTCAGGGATGGTTGTTTGATGTCGAGTTGATGCAGCCGTGTATAATACATATGTATGATATATGTGTTTTATTATATTTATTCTGAGAGGCTCAAATCCCTGAAGCACCTCAAAAGCCATTTCTGAGACCCCCACAATCCAAAATAACATTTTCAGCCTTGCCTGCACTAATGTTTTCTCAATGTTCATGAACATTTCCACGTTTCGGTCCATCCGTGAAGGGTTTTGCAAGTCGAATCGCCTCCTGTGAAGAAAATAAGGGGGAGAGAAGAAATATGTGTGTGTGTTTTGTGTTTTCTTTTTATAGTTGTTATCGTGTACACTGAAAAGAGCATTTAATTTTGTCATACGAGGCGCAATGAGGGGGGGTATTTATCATCATTCAGGATGAGCAGAAATGCAATTCTCACGCCACCCTTGACTTGCAACAGCCAGCGGGCCACCCCGCTGCTAAGCAAGATGTCGATGAAGTGCGCCCTGCCCCATTTTACTTCGAAGGAATTTCTGCAGTCGTTAAATTAGGAAGCCGATTCTGAAGTGAATCTGGCTTTCCCCAGTTTGCTCGTCAGAAGGCCGCAAAAAGGGAATCGCATGATGCCCAACCGTCATAAACTGGAATGGGTTGAAGTTGGATTCCATGATCACGGGGATGCTACAACAGGCGTGGAAGTGTGGAAAACAGTCATAAGTCGTATTTTGAAAATGGTCATAAATCACATCTTTTGGTGCTGTTGTTAACTCTGAACATTCACTAAACGAACTGTTTTAAGTCAAGGATTACCTGTGTTATCAGTCAGGAGGGCAATAAATGCCCTCATTCTCAGCCGGTAGGCAGTCCCTGACTTACAACCACCACAGGGAGCAGAATTTCCATCACTAAGCAAGGCAGCGGGCTCAGCGAGCCTCCCCGAAATTTGATAACCTTTGTCCGGCTGTTAAGCAATTGCAGAGGTTAAAAGTGAATTACAAGGTCGTTAAAACGATCGGGCTCCGCCCCTCACGGAGGTTGCTCATCAGAAGGTCCCAAACACAAGACCCCCAGGATGGTGTAACCGGTGGTAAATACAAGCGCATTGCCAATTCAAGGACCCACGAGTACAGTTGTTAAAGTACAAGAAATGGTCGGGGAATTATTCTTTTTTAAATATAACAGTGGCCTACTCAGAAATTAATAAGAGGATAGAGCAGGGGGTCTTCAAACTTGAGGGCTTTAAGACGTGTGGATTTCAACTCCCAGAATTCCTCCTCCTCCAGTCATGTTAGCTCAGGAATTCTGGGAGTTGAAGTCCACAAGCCTTAAACTTGCCAAGGTTGAAGACCCTTGGGCTAGATAATGGAGGTTTATAATTCAATTTAAATGTGTGAAATGCTATGAGAATTATATAATTTAAGCACTGCAACTATGATTAATATATAATTGGTAGCAAAAGGAGTGAGGTTAAGAAGATAGAGATGGACCTTAAAAATAACATGCGGTAATACTGAATCATTAAGATTGATCGTTTAATAATTATACATATGAATATCAAACTCAAAAAATTGTCAACTACATTGAGGGAATAGAATAGAATAGAATAGAATAGAATAGAATAGAATAGAATAGAATAGAATAGAATAGAATAGAACAGAACAAAACAGAACAGAATAGAATTCTTTATTGGCCAAATGTGATTGGACACACAAGGAATTCTGTCTTGGTGCAAATGCTCTCAGTGTCCATAAAAGGAAAGATACATTCGTCAAGAGTCAGGAATCATCAGGCACAACGCTTAATGACGGTCATGGGATACAATAAGCAATCAAATCATACTAGGAAACAGTCAATATTAAATCCTAAAGATACAAGCGACCAGGTTACACACCTACAGTCACAAGTGGGAGGGGATGGGTGATAAGGAGTGATGAGAAGATTAATAGTAATAGTAATGCAGATGTCAACTCATAAAACATTCCTATGCCTGTTCTAGTAGTTGCCATAAAAAGTGGGGGGAGGGGAGAGGAAGGAAATCTGAAAGAGCAGTGCAGCAGTTTGGAAATTGAAAGTACACTCCAACTCTTATCTTTAAAATACAGTAACTAAAATACCGAAGCTTTTGCCCTTGAATATATTTAATTGGAGAATGTGAATGAGGACACCCAGCCCCCGCAATTGGAGAATGTGATTGATGATGACACCCAGCTCGAGAACAGGCTCAATTAGACAATCTGGTTTATTAGACACCCAGGAGTGGGGGGGGGGGTAACAGGGTCACAGGGGACTGTAAATTACGTAGGCCAGAGTTGGCTTCATACAGGGCAGTGCCAGAATGTCGCCTCTAATGCATCCTTTGAAGTTTTTTTAATTTGGCTCGAGAATCATGATTTAATTAGGGTGATTGCTGGAATCCTGACAGCAGACTTTGTAAATAGTTGGATAGTGTTGAGGGAATTGTTTATTTAGCAGAGTGATGGCGTTCAGGGAAAAACTTTGCTTGTGTCTAGTTGTTCTGATGTGCAGTGCTCTATAGTGTCATTTGAGGGGAGGAGTTGAAACAGTTCATGTCCAGGATGTGAAGGGTCTGTAAATAGTTTCACAGCCCTCTTTTTGACCTGTGCAGTATACAGGTCCTGGATTGACAGGCAGTTTGGTAGTAATTGTTTTTTCTGCAGTCCTAACTACTCTCTGAAGTCTGTGTCTGTCTTGTTGAGTTGCAGAACCAAACCAGACAGTGGTAAGAGGTGCAGATGACAAGACTCAATAATTCCTCAGTACAACTGTATCACTTCTATATAGAGATTGACCAAAAAATATCATACTGTAATATTGAATAATTAAGATTGATCATTTAATGATTATTTGTATTAATACCAAACTTGAAAAATTGCCAACTATATTAAGGAAAAGGAATAGTGTTCTATTTGTATCAAAATGTAAGTCGCTACGGAACCACACTGTTCACACATTGATTCTGATTGTAACCAAAAAATACAACATTTATTGTATCAAAAGGAAAAAAAAGCATGAGAAAGGGCCCGTAAGGCTCTTTTTTGGGAAGTCCGGTCACTAAAAGGAGCGGCCGTTAAGTTGAGGATAACTTGCGGGGATCGAAAACTCACCACCCTTGCTCGTTCTTGTACTTGTAAGCGGCCCCAAGGATGTAACACAAGGTCCCTCCGGCTTTGAAATCCAGGAAACACTTGGCCTGAAAGACAAACCCCCAGTTGCGGGTTGTGGTTTTCCCCACCCCTCCCTTCCTGACAAACCTGAAACACGCAACTGGCCACACAAATCGCACAACAAGAAATGATTGGCCAACGGTTGGCAAGTTTGCCACACAGATTGGCCATCGAGAGAACCGGATTGGACAAGGAGAAAAGGTGCGGGCCAAGAAGCTAGGAGGCAGTGAGTTCTAGTCCTGCCTTAGGCACGAAAGCCGGCTGGCTGACTTTGGGCCAATCACTAGGAGACTGGGAGTTCTAGTCCCGCCTTAGGCATGAAGCCAAGGGCCAACTGTTGGCATCCCGTGTTCTACCCACAAAGACTTCCACTGAAGACCCACAACAGGGGTCCCTACCCTCAATACTAACCGGAAACTTGGTGAAGGCGGGATTGGCCACATGTTTTCCGAAGGCATCTTCCTGGAACTGCAGCAATTGGGACACCAGCCCGGCCAGGGTTTTATTGGTCGGTGCGTCGGCCTGGACATACTGTGAAAGGAAGACACAACACAATTGTGGGTGTTACTTTTCCGTCTGGATGCAGAACCACAACACTGGCCGCAACCCTGAGAGCAGCATGGGTCATCTTGGTTTGTTTGAATCCTGATTCTCCCAATGAGGAGAAGCTGTTGCAGGTGGAAGTCAGGTAGCGAGAGAGAGGGGGGCTGTCCCCTGAGTTACAACCACACGTTTAGTGACCAAAGTTAGATAGAGCAGCCCCAGAAAAAACAGCCAATTTCTTAAGAGCAAGGAAAATTTATGTGGCTAAGCCAGACAGTGAAGGGAGGGTTGCCCCGTTTTATGACCTCTCTTCCTGCAGTTCTTAAGTGTTCTGACCTAGGCTTCCCAAGATCATAAGGCCGACTCCTCGTCCTGCAGATGATAAAACATCTATTATTTAGGTTATCAAGTGAATTCCTCTCCAGCAAAGTCCTGGCCAACTGTCTTTTGAGAGATTTCACAACTACAGGCCTTTATCAGGCTTGGAGAGTTGCCAGGCTGATAGCTTCCAAACGCCATGCTGTAGCAGCAATTACTTGGCAAGAAGTCAGGAACAGATCTTCACCTGAATGAACTGAACTAATTCTCCCCTGCAAACCCCACTCCCCTTTATTCCCTATATGGGAGGGGCCATTCACTGTCCACCTGTGGCTTTACTCCCGAGTCGACCCTTGTTCCTTAACTGTTCCCTTCTCCTGGCAGCTCTGCCCATGTGCGCATTGGGAACAGGCTCCAGCTGTTCTTCCCCACTTACCTCTGACTCAGAAGGCAGCCGAAGACAGCTGATAACTGTCAGACAGCTCTGACCTCATATCTGCCCCAGACTCCAGGACTGGCCCATGTTCCTCCCCAACCTCCTCACGGTCTGAGTCTGCCGCCAGCTCCGTTGGCAGGCCACAAACATAAAGGGAATCGCCCCAGTTGTCAAGCCAGACCGTCGTTAAAATGAATTTGGCTTCCCCATGGACTTTGCTCATCATACGCTTGCCAAAGGGGATCACCTGACCCCGAGACACTGAAACCCTTGTAAATCCGAGCCGGTTGCCAAGAATCTCAATTTTGATCACTTGACTGTATGGGGATGCTGCAAGGGTTGTTACGTGTGAAAAATGGTCATAAGAGACCTTTTTTCCAATGCTGTTGTAAGTTTGAATGATCTGTTGTTAAGTCAAGTACTACTTTCTTAAGCTCCACCAACAGGGGACCTGATCAGCAACTGTAGGATTGTCAGGAATTAGTCTCCTGCTTGAGCAGGGGTTGGACTAGATGACCTCCAAGATGCCCTCCAACTCTGTTATATAGACCCATAAAGTAGCCTCCCCAGCTCCACTTAGCTGTTTAATACTGGGTGAATAATAAATAAATGATCTGCATATTCATTTGTTTTTTTTCAGCATTACCTACCAAACCCTCTCACTGAAAGAAAAAGGAATCTCCTATTTTATAGATCAGAACAACAGAGTTGGAAGGGACCTTGGAGGTCTTCTAGTCCAACCCCCTGCTCAAGCAGGAGACCCTACTAGACCATTTCTGAAAAACGGCTGTCCAGTCTCTTTTTAAAAAGCCTACAGTGATGGAGCACCGACAATTAAGGAGGATGGACAGCCATGTGTCCAGTATGGTATACGGCTTCCTGCTTGAGCAAGGGGTTGGACTACATGACCACCAAGGTCCCTTCCAACTGTGTATTTCTGTAAGGATCTCCTGCTCGAGCAGGGGTTGGACTAGAAGACCTCCGAGGTCCCTTCCAACTCTGTTGTTCTATGATTCTGAAAGGGTTTCCTGTTTGAAGCAGGGGCTTGGACCAAGAGACCTCCCAGATGACTTTCAATGCCATATATTTCTCTAAGAGTCTGTTGCTCGAACTGGGGTGGGTGGGGGGGTTGGACTAGATGACCTCCAAGGCCCTTCCAACTATGTAATTCTCTAAGGGTCTCTGGCCTAAGCAGAGGGTTGGACTAGATCAGTGGCCGCCAACTCGTGGGGCAGGGACCACTGGTGGTCCGCAAGAACATTTTGGTGGTCTGCAGAGAAATATCCCCCCAAAGCAATTAATCTAGTCTGCATGGGAACACAAGGCTGCACTGCCCAGATGGCCCGCCCACCCACTGCCCCCCACCCTTCGGCCGAGCGCAAACCTTACCTTGCGTAGAGCCACAGGAGCTGGAACTGGAAGGTAAGACCAACGGCGGGGGAGGGAAATCCGCCTTGGGGTGGTTTGCTGATGTTGGTGGGAAAGTCGGTCCCCTATTCCAGAGCTGCAGGAGTCCCAAGAGTAAGCAGCTCCTCCAGTCCATGGCAGGCCGGTGCACTTAGGTGGAGGAGCAGCTGCTCCGGGACGACCCAGAGGGCCCGTCCTGTGACTCCTGCAGCTCTGGAACGTGGGGCTGACTTTCCCACCTGCGTCAGCAAGCCACCGTCAGCCAAAATTCATAGTAATGGTGCGCGGGATTTGAAATTATGAGTTTGGTGGTCCCCGAGATCCCAAAAGGTTGGCGACCCCTGGACTAGATAATTTCCAAGGTCCCTTCCAATTCTCCTTCTATTCTGTACCATCCCAGGGCCAGTTTTGCTATACACAACCTAAGATTTTATCAGCTTTTCTAATTGTTGTACTCTGCTCTGGCAGCTTCCAAACTAATTGGCGGCCTCTTAAAAAAAAACAAAAAATGGAAGGGCGATCAAATCCAGCCCTGCAGGCCATTGTGGGTGGCCCAGGTTCATTCATATACACAACAGCACAAGCACACAACAGATGAAACTCTACCCAGGCTGGCAGACAAGAGGGGAGATTGGTCAGGGTATCGAGTCACAGAGCTGGGGAGGAACAGCTGCACTTCCAGCTGCTAAACTTCCCCATAGGCTATTGTGTTTGGTATCAACACCTGCCAGTCCTCTGCCAGGAGACCAGCAAGGAGGTGTGATTGTGACAATACAGGCTTTTGTAAAAGAATGAGGGAAGAGAAAGGGAACTCAGATTTGCAGATGACCCGAAATACTCTCAAAAAGACTTCAGTAAGGCATTCGACAGAGTAGACCACAACACATACGTCTCAGTAAGTGGACAAATGTAGGATAGACAACTCCCCCACCAGATGGGAGTGGGGTGCTGACAAACCATACTCAACGAGTAGTCCTTAACGGTATGATCTCCAGGGAGGGAAGTAAGCAGCGGGGTACCACGAGGTTACAGTCTCAGGCCCAGGACTCTTGAATAGCTTCATAAATGCCTTAGATGATGTCAACTCATAAAACATTTCTATGCTGGTTTTAGAGTTGCCATGAACAGAAGGAGGGAGGGGAGAAATCTGAAAGAGCAGTGCATCTGTTTGGAACCGAAAGTGTGTTCTATTCTTATCTTGCAAAGATTATAACTAAGGGATCAGAATTTCTGCCCCGCAAATCTCTAATTGGAGAACATGATTGATGACTCTCTGCTATGAAAGCCTTTCCTTGGAGAATATGAACCCAGAGAGGGTGGGTGGGAAACCAGGATCAAGGGTGACAGTGAATTACATGTCTCAGAATCCTTTTGTAGCCCGGCTCGAGGCTCATGATTTAATTAGGTCAACTGCTGGAGTCCTGACAAGATGAGGGAATAGAAGGGGAATTCCTGCAGTTTGAAAATGACACTAAACTGGCAGGAATAGCCAACACCCCAGAAGACAAGCTCAGAATCCAGAAAGATCTGGATGGAAGGGAACTACAGGCCCAATCCAGCAAAATGAAATTTAATGTGGGTTTCATCCCACTGAGTTTCAATAATTGCAACTATATCACACAAAGAAACAAGTTATAACTAGCAGCCAGCCCGGGTTTGTTATAAAGCGATCATGCCAAAGGAATCTTACTTCATTATCTGACCAAGTGACCAAATTAATAGACTAGCAAAATCCCGTGGACATAGTATATTTAGACTCCAGTAAGGCATTCAATAGAGTAGATCACAACCTACTTCTTGCTAAGCTGGAAAAATGTAGGATAGATAGCATCACCATCAGACGGATGTGTAACTGGCTGATAAACCGTACTCAAGGAATAGTATGTAACGATACTAAATGGAGGGAAGTAAGCAGTAGGGTACCACAAGACTCTATCTTAGACCCAGTGCTATTCAATGTTTTTGTAAATGACTTGTATGAGAGGAAATAGAAAAGAAACTCATCAAATTTGCAAATGACACTAAACTGTCAGGAATAGCCAACAACACCCCAGAAGATAAGCTCAGGATCCAAAAAGATCTGGATGGACTCGAACCCTGGGCCCTATCCAGTGGTGGGCTGGTACCGGTTCTCCCCAGTTCAAGCAAACTGATAGCTAATTTTATGGCTGGTTCAGTGACCCAGTAAATCTCACCCCTGGCTGGCCCTGCCTCTCCCAGGAGCCCCCACGCGGTCTGTTTTGGATGCCAGATAAGCACAGGGACCACGCGGAGGCTCAGGGAGGGAAAACAACGGGCCTCCTGGAGGCTCTGGAAGGCTGTAAATGGGCCCATTTCCGGCTTCCAGAGGGCCTCCAGAGCCCAGGGAGGCCATTTTTACCCTCTCGGAGGCTCAAAGAAAGCCCCGAGCCCGGGGAGGGTAAAAATGTCCCTCCCCCGCTGTGGTGCAAGAGACAGACTAGACCACGCCCACCATGGCCACGCCCACTCAGCAACCAGGCAGAGAACCAATTGTTAACATTTTTGAAGCCCACCCCTGCTCCTATCCAACAATATGGGCCAGCCAGGGGTGAGATTTACTGAGTCACCGAACCAGCCATAAACATAGAAATGTAGCATAGAAAAGCAAGGTTTTACACCTAAGTGGGAAAAACCAAAGGTACAAGTGAAATCCAGCTTGAAAACAGTAACGGTGAGAGGGACATTGGAGTCCTAACAGATGATCATTGAAATATGAGCTAGCCATGTGCAGCAACAGCCGAAAAAGCTAATACGATCCATGCTTGTCGAAACACAGGCATAGAATTAAAATCATGTGAAGGATTAG